TAACTACTGTCATCCTTTGTCAGGGTGGTTGTGACACCTTTTAACTAATCTCCTGGCTCTGTCCTTGAAAACTTAGAATCTATTCTCAACCTGACATGCAAATGAAGCTCTTAACATGTGAATCACTTATTATGGGTGAAATATGTCCACTCCAAATTTGTGTGTTGAAGCCCTAACTCCCAATACCTCAGAATGTGACTGTGTTTAGAGATAGAGCCTTTAAATGTGTGATTAAGTTAAAATGAGCCATTAGGGCGGGCTCTACTCCAATCTGATTGGTGTCCTTGTAAGAAGAGGAAGAGACAGGAGGGGTGCATGCACACAGGGGACAGACCATGTGGGGATCCAGCTAGAAGGCGGCCGTCTGCAAGCAAAGGAGAGAGGCCTCAGAAGAAACCAAGCCTGCTGACATCTTGATCTTAGACTTGTAGCCTCCAGAACTGTAAGAAAACAAATTTCTGTTGGGTCAGCCTCTCAGTCTGTGGTATTTTGTTAAGGCTGCCTCAGCAAACCAATATATCAAGTTACACCATCCTCTCCCCAAGTCTTCCCCTGGCTGTCTGTTTTATTTCAAGTTCAAGCAGAAGTTCTTACAGTGCCCTACCGAGCCCTGTATCATCTGACCTTCCCCCCCTTTGTCTAACCTTACTCCTATTACTCTCTCCTTTGCCCATTCTGTTCTAGCCACTCAACTTCCTTGCTGTCCCTTGAACTTGAAGCTGCACGTTTGCCTCAGGGCCTTTGAACATTCTGGCCTCTACTGAGAAGCCCTTTCCCCGGATACCTCGATGGTTCACTCCCTCAACTCTGTCAGCTACTTACCCAGTCCCTGGCCACCTTATCTAAAAGAGTATGCCCCACCCTCCATCCTGAAGGCCCTCCCTTCCCTGGCTTTACTTTTCTTTTTAGCACTTATCTAAGACATTATATCTTTTACATATTTTATATTGTCTGCCTCCTATACTAGCATGAAATCTCTAAGAGGGTGGGATTTGTGTCTGCTTTGTTCAATGCTGAAGTTCCAGGGTCTGAAATGCTTTGCACATAGTATTTATTTGTTGAATAAATGATTTTATTGAGATATGATTGACATATAACATCATATTGGTTTCAGGTGTACAATATAATGATTTGTTATTTGTATATATTGCTAAATGATCACCACAATAGTCTAGAAACATCCATCACCTCACAGTTACAATTTTCTTCCTTGTAATGAGAATGTTTAAGATCTACTCTTTCAGCAATTTTTAAATATGCAATAAATATGAATAAATAATTTGACAGGCAAATAATTTCTTAAATTAAAATTTATTCAGTTATCAGTGATGTAAAATATTTCTTTCAGAATTCTTTTCATCATTTATATTTACTCCTCTATGTCTTATCTATTCCTGTTCTTTGGCCATTTTTAAAAATTAGTGTCCAAAAGACAATGTTTTCTCTATATTGCTACTGCTTCTCCTACAAACATTACTAACTAGTATAGTTATATATTAAAGAGATTAAACTCCTTGTTTGCCATATTTTGTAACACGTATTTTTAGTTTGTGGTTAGTGATTTTTATTAAACAAAACAATTTAGATTTTTTTGATATAGTTAAATCTGTTGTACTTCCTCTGATGCAAATTTAGTCTTAAAACAGCAGCTTTTAATAACTCTGTCTATTTCTCAGGAAATCTCTTTTTATCTTATTTCCAGAGAACCGTCTGAGGCTCATTCATCTGAAACTTACTCACCTGGAACAGGTGACAGAAAGCTGTTTTCCTGCAAGAAGTGACAATGAGGAGTTTTTATAGCAATAATCACAAGTGGATTTTGCCCTCATGAAATTATAGTGGTCAGCAAACAGTCAAGTTAATTTAGGATTTTTTTTTTTTTTTTTTTTTTTTTTTTTTTTTTTTTTTTTTATGGTGCTATCGCAGGGCCCAATCTTAACAGATAGGCCTTAGGTTATAGGTTGGTGGACTATTTCAGCATCAACATACTGAGCTAATTCATTTTCTAAGTTTTTTTCTACCCATCTTCAGGGACCAGTTACTGCAATAATAGTCTTCCCTACTCCAAGCAAAGGGCTTTGTGAGCTCTGGCAAAAAGATGAGAAAATAGAGGCCCCAAAATGCTTAAATAATGGGCTAAAACTTAAACTGAGTAGAGGGTGATATTCAAAACATTTAATGACCTGCATGATGTTATCGCAAACTCTCAAAAACTGACCAATCAGAACAGAGGCCAGCATGAATTCTAACCAATCAAAACAGAGGTCACTATGAACAACTCCAATGGTCCCACTACTGATAACACTTAAAAACAAACAACAAAATAAAACATGGGTCTCCTGGCTGGTGTGACTCAGTTGGTTGAGCGTCCTCCCATGCACCAAGAGGTTGCCTAGTTTGATTCTTAGTCAAGGCACATTCCCAGGTTGTGAGCTCGATCTCCAGTCAGGGTCATGCAGGAGTCAGTCCATTGATATTTCTCTCTCCTGCTCCCTTCCTCTCACCCTAAAAAGAAAAAAACAAAAGCAAAAACAATAAAAACATGTATATCTTGGGCTGGCTCAGTGGTTGAGCATCAACTTATGAACCAGCAGGTCACAGTTCAATTCCCTGTCAGGGCATGTGCCCAGCTTGCGAGCTCCATCCCCAGCAGAGAGCATGCAGGAGGCAGCCGATCAATGATTCTCTCTCATCATTGATGTTTCTATCTTTCTTTCCCTTTCCCTTCCTCTCTGAAATCAATAAAAATATATTTAACAAATACCTATATGTATAAAAGCCAAGTGACCAGAGTGACCGGTTGCTATGACGATCACTGCAGTGGCCAACCAGCCCAATCAGGCCCTGATCGCCTCCCCCAATCGGGGGTGGGGCTGGCCAGCCAACTGCCTACTGCCCCTCCTCCTGGCCAGCCCCAACCCGATTGGTCCCTCAACCTCCTGTGTCCCCTCCCCTGGGCCGGCCTGGCCTGATCAGCCCCAATCAGGATGGTTGGACCCCACCCATGCACGAATTTGTGCACCGGGCCTCTAGTACTTATATATTATGTTTAAAAAGCAAAAACATTGACATCAACACAGTTTTGTGCAATTGAGCAAGCAAATATGTAAAGTAGAGTAGGAGGAAATGTACTAGAATCTTAGCCATTCTACCTTTGCATGCACTTTTTTTCTCCTTTTCCAAATTTTCTTTTTTTAATAATAAATCATTAGTTTTGTAATGGCAAAATTTAATAGTTTTAAGTAAAGATAGTTATGAAACTTGAGAGGGACAGTTTGCTGAAGAAGGCTGGTTTTTATGACACGGTTATGGGTGAGAGCCTTTCTCAGGGCAGCCACCGAAACATCAAAACAGCAGGAGCTCAGTTGCCACTGCTTGTGGTCAGGGGGATGCTAACAGGAGGCAACAGAGCACTCCAGAGAAGGTTAAACAGAAATCCCTGTCACTGGCTTCTAATAAAGAGGAAACACAGCAGCTAGTGGGCCTCTGCAGACACTTGAGACAGCACAGACCCCATCTGAGTGTCTCTGGCAGCCACCTCCCACGAGGGGCCCTTCTCAACACAAGCATTAAAAGCTGGTCCACCAGCCCAGCCCAGGGCACTGGCCTTGGGACCAGCTGGTCAAGGGAGACTGGCACACACCACAGATGCCGATCTTGCTGCCTCACTTCTCCTGTTGCAGTAAAGCACTGTTCCAAGCACTTGGAGCGCTGAGTCCTCCTGGGGGACTTGGAACCCAGTGGGCTGATGTCTATGGGCTCCTCATTCTGGTGGTTGGCATTGTTATGCTCCTTGCCATTCTGCATGGGGTGGGAATCCTCACCGAGGACTGGTAGCTGGACCTTCCTTCAAGACGCTCCACAGGCCTTCCTGCCACTGAGCAGCAGGTACAGCTGGGTCAGGGTCAGTCCCGGCCACACAGACTGGAGGCTGGTACCGCGGCTGGACGATCCCAACCCACATCCCCATAGATCCAAACAAGGGGACCACAGTGCAAGTGGCATGGGCACAGGCCTCGGTGCAGCCTGTTAACACTTGGCCTCCAGAGTGCTTTTGCATATGCCCCACTATACTGCCTCATCCCCAGACTTCCCAGCTGAAGTCTGATCCTCTAAAGCCCACCTCTTCTGTCCACTAATAAGCGTCTGTTTCCCTCAAGCCTTCAGCAAAGTGAACTATATCCAAATCGGGGTGCAGGGGTGTCACGAAGGGAGAAGGCAGAATGAAGCTGTGTGTACATAGGGAAACAGGTAGTGTTTCGGTGTTTGGGGTGAGCCACCTCCTGCAGAAAAGTTATGAGAAGGCAGGAGCAAGCCACAAAGCAGCCCAGAGCAGCTGTCTATAGTGAGGGGACATCGTTCTCCATTCCTCAAGATTTTGAGAAATCTTTGGAAGGGAAATTGATTTCCTGCAAATACATAAGGTGTGATTTCCAGATCTGATGATGATGATGATGATGATGATGTGTTGATGCTAATGATGATGTTATTAAAGGAGGGGTTGAGTGAAAATGTTGGAATGCTTGGCTTGGATTGAAAACCCAGGGGGAGGTTTAGGGACATCATCTTTGGAGTCAGACATTTCTCTAGGTGTGGCTCTGCCATTTACAGGTTAAGTGACCTAAATCAAACCTCCTTCCCTAAATCTCCTTAATCTGTAAAATGGATATAATAATAGTGCTCATCCCATCGGCTGAGGATTAAGAGGACACATGTAACTAGTTGCTGAGCACAGTGAATGGAATGTCCAGTCAATACCAGGTGTTATGCATAAAACAGCGGCGTCATCACCATCACCATGATCTCTGAAATATTTTGTGTCCCTAAATGCACACACACATGCTACAGAAGAAAATGCCAATGGAACCCAGCAGGTGTGGCTCAGTGGTCGAGCATTGACCTATGAACTAGGAGGTCACAGTTCGATTCCAGGTCAGGGCACATGCCGAGGTTGCAGGCTCAATCACCAGTGTGGAGTGGAAAAGGCCAAATTTGAGAGCTCTAAAGAAACCTGAGTGGGCACGTCACTGGGCTCTGAGCTCAGGACATTCCTAAATAGTCAAAGCAGGGAAATTCCAAAAAGAGAGAAATATGATTTTAGGGAAGAAGAGAAGCCCTGAGGGCATGGATTGATTGGCCACAGATCCAGTCAGAGAACTGGGGAGGCGGATAACGGAGGTTACAAAAGACCAAGGCAGATGATGAGAAACACTTTTTGTTAGACCAACAGGGCATCTCAACCTATCAAATTTTATCCTTTGCCTTTAGATGGCCTCTCTGGGAAGTGTAAGGTAGTCAGAGGGTAATGCCAGTTGATTTCATATTTTTACACTTTTTTCTTAAAAAATTAAGAAAAATTTTAATTTACAGTAGACATGTAATATTAGTTTCAGGTGTACAACATTACACTGTGTCTTGATTCAAATGTTTTCAAGGTGCATTTGGACAGCATTGGGGAGGTGAGGCTGGGTGAAGTGAGGTGAAGCCAGGTGAGGGATGTATTCTCATGCCTTGATGGAGGGAATGCAAATTAGCATGACTGCTCCGGAAAGCGACTAGTTGGTGCATCTCAAAGTGCTTTAAAAATGATCACCCATTTGAGTGTAAATTTTGCAGCAGTGTCCTGTGGAAGTGATCAGAACTCTGGCCAGCACAAGGGAGCACATAGGAAGAAGACTGTAAACACACACACACACACACACACACACACACACACACACACAGGATTTGAGCAGTTGTTATATCTGGGGAGTGTGACTCTAAAAATTGTTATTTGCTTCATTTTACTTTTAGATTTTCCTAAATTTCTCCAACATGTAATTTAAAAGAAATATGTTTAAAAATAAATGCATTAAACAAAAATATACTTCTTCCTTTGCAGTCCTCCTCTGCCTTCCTTCCATTGAAAACCAAGAGTCTAGTTATTCTGGTATGACAGGCACAGGATGACCCGTTGTGGATTCTGTCCTTGACTCTCTCTCTTCCTTTGTTGATTTTGCTCTGGGCTCTGGGCTGGGATTGAGTGGCTTCCTCCAATGTAGACGGAACTCTGCAGGATTTGCTCTCAATGGCGCTGGTTCACGAACACCCTGCATCACTGCTTCTCAAAGCCAGACTGAGCAAGGCACCTAGCGGGGGATGGGGGAGAGAAGGCGGGCAGTCAGGATTAATTTAGCACACTTTGCTTAGAGTTCATCTTGCTTTAGATATACTGGCGTAGGGCTGGGAAATGGGAAGAAGAGGGACGAGAGAGAGTGTTGTTTTCTATCCACTGATATTTTTCTTTAGCAAGTTAAAAGTCATACCTGGTATCCTCGGTTGGATATACTTGGTTGATGATAAGCTGTTTTGTTTCATACACTAAAAAAACAAAAAAAGATAGCGTGGCTGAGGAGAAATCCATCCATTCACAGTTATTTATTAGTTCCTTCTCTGTGTCAAGCACTGTTCTAAATGCTGGGAATACCGCTGTGCACAAACCAGGAAAATTTGCTGCCTCCATGGAGTGTCCCTTCTGGGGCTGAGAGTCGATGGGAGTCAGTAATGCAATGAAGAAAAATTAACCAAAATAATGGAGATAGAGAATGAGGGGCTGAAGTGCGTGTGTTTCTTTAGGTAAAGTACTTGGAAAAGGCCTCTTAATTTGAATAAAGACCTGAAGGAAGTGGGGGAGTGAGGCATGTAACTATGGTGAGGAAAGGCTCTCTAGGCAGACGGAACGCAAGCGTCAAGACCCCAAGGAAGAGCTCACTTGGTGTGTTTCATCGCTAGCGAGGAGGCTAGTCTGGCTGGAGATGAGGTTGGGGAGTTACGAGAGGGTCTTTGTGCAGTGGCTTAATATGATTTCAAATCCACGTGTGTGTGCATGTGTATGTGTATTCTCAAAAAGAAATACTAGAAAGATAACTCAGGAAGTAATAGAAATTATTTATGAGAGGGCGAGGGACAGGAAGAAGAGACAAGGATGGAAGTGGGCATTATAAAAAGAAAATAAATTTAAAAGAAGAGCACCAGGTATAGGCTTAGACAGGCTTGGATTTAAATTCCAATTCTGCAGCTAACTACCAGTTGACTTTGGAAAAGTTACTTAGTCTCTCTCAGCTTCAGTCCTATTAATAAAATGCATAGGGTTGTTGGGAATATAAAGTGAAATAACACTGGCTAAAACCCTTAGCCCAGTGCCTGGTGAGTATAGACCAGTGATGGTGAACCTATGACAAGGGTGTCAGAGGTGACAGGCGAACTCATTTTTTTGGTTGATTTTTCTTTGTTAAATGGCACTTAAATATCAAAAATATGTCTTTGTTTTACTATGGTTGCAAATATCAAAAAATTTCTATATGTGACACGGCACCAGAGTTAAGTTAGGGTTTTTCAAAATGCTGACACACCGAGCTCAAAAGGTTCGCCATCACTGGTATAGACTATGGTTAGTCTTGGTTCAACAAGCAAGAATCAGGACTATGGGAACCTTGTAAAATTCTTAAGCTCTCTAACTATCCTTTTCCCTGAATGCTTAGGAAGAAAATCCTTAAGAGAACAAGGGCTTATAGTTGTCTTGGGGGTGGGGGTGGGCAGATGGAATGAGATGTTCTTACTCTAGCCATTTTGGGGTGGGGTGGAGGAGTAATAAGAACTCTGGGGGATAGAGTGGGTGGGAACACATTTAGAGAGGAAATGGAAACAGACATTTAAAAACCAAAATTAAACCAAGGAAATCTGAAGATCTAATTGACTTTATTAAGTGATTCATGAATTGGGCAGCATCTCATCCAGCAACTAGACAGGTGCTCCAGAAGGTTGCACAGCATGGAAGGTTTTTATCAGAAGTGTATGAAGGGGAGTCATTAGCAAAAGAAAAGAGGTTATTTTTAATCAGGGGCATGTTCTTTTTTGGGGGAAGGGAATTCAAGGGTTTTATCCTACAGATCGTCTCTTCTTAAGAGAAATGGAGAGGGCCTACAGGAGGAATTATCTTGCTGGTGCTTGACTAAAAATCCCCAACTGCTTGACTAAAATTGTATTTCTGGGAGTGGTTGAAACTAAAATTAAATCAGGTATTAAATCTAAGTCTGGTCTCACGGGCTTTAGCATGAGTGACGCCATTCTGGGCCTGTGGTTTCCTTCCTAACACAGGGGAATCCCTGGGGCCTGCTGCAAAGAAGGAAAGGTGAGCCCTGGGCCTGGGCCTAGAAAATGGGAGCCTAACAGCCGGTCAGAGGGTATTCCCCCAGCTCTGCCATGGGTTTCTTCCTTCTTCCTCTCTCATGACAGGATGGAAATGCAGGGAGACAGTCCGGCTCTGTAACTTGCTCGGCGGGGCCTACAAATCCCAGGTTGTCTTCTTTGTTCTCATCAGGAAGCAGCTCTCCACTCCCTCCCTCCCGCAATCAATGCTTCATTGTTTATGGAACTCAGGAAGTCCTTGGTCCAGCTTGTATAATCCAGGCCAGACCTTTAGCACCCAGTGCTTCTTTTTAAAAGGAAGCAAAGCCTCTTTTCTTCCTGACATTTCAAAGCTCAACGGAACCCAACAGCTTCCAAGCATTCTGCCACTTGGCTACCTGTGTGACCCTGGGCAAGTTTCTAAACCCCCAACTGGCTTGTGGGTCTGTCCCTCAGGAGAGCAGCAGAAGCAGGACTGTCTGGTCCAGTCTTGCCCTCCACATCATATAAGTGGTTTCAGCAAGTTACAACGATGGTTTTAAAATGTGTTTCCACGCCCAGCTGGCGTGGCTCAGTGGGTGAGCATCGACCTATGAACCAGGAGGTCACGGTTCAATTCCCGGGCAGGGAACATGTCTGGGTTGCTGGCTCGATCCCCAGTAGGGGGCGTGCAGGAGGCAGCTGATCAATGATTCTCTCTCATCATTGATGTTTCTATCTCTCTCCCTCTCCCTTCCTCTTGGAAATAAATAAAAATATATTAAATAATAATAAAATAAAGTAGAAATTCAAAAAATAAAATAAAATGTGTTTCCTCAGTGTGTCCCACTGTGAAGCTTTTTACCTTCCATTGTGCTGGAACATCTTCTGAATCCTGAGATTCACAACTGAGCTGAGCCCCAGCCTTCTAAAACTCCTTGGCTTCTCCTGGTGCAGATGAGGAATGGTGCCTGCAGGTCAACCAGGTAGTGGATGCTGTAGTGAATGCTGGCCAAGGCTGGCAGAAAATAAATGAATGAAATGTGATGAGAATGTCACCATTATTGTCAACCATGGTCACTATCCTTGGACATTGATTGTTTTATATGTTTTTCTTTAAATTTATTTCAGAGAGAGGAAGGGAGGGAGAGAGAGAGAAACATTGATGAAAGAAAAACATCAATGGGCTGCCTCCTGCACGCCCCCTACTGGGGATCAAGCCCACAACAGGGTATTTGCCCTGTCTGGGAATTGAACTGTGACCTCCTGGTTCATAGGTCCGCCCTCAACCACTGAGCCACACCAGCGAGGCTAGACATTGATTTTCATGACAGAGCACCTCGGCTGCCACCATGGATCCAGCATCACTATTGTGAACTTTGCATAGTTCACAGGCTTTGGTGGTGGTGACCTAGAACCTGTGTGGTCTCTGGCATTTGAGGGCAAAAAGGGCAAGGATTTCTGCCTTTTCCATGCTGTGCTCTGTAGCATTGGTTCACAATCAGAAGATAGAGCATAGTTACCCTAGGTTCATATCCTCTGGTTAACTCTTGAGATGTTGGTTCTAAGAGTGCTTTTTCTTGCAACGGACGATTCCTCAAAATTAGGACAAGGGACTTGCATGCTGTGCAGCAAGGGGGGTGGGGGGAAGTTTCTAAATGTGATGGAATGGTGGACAGTGTTGCAAAGTGAATTTTTTTTAACCAAGCCTTTTGCTCTCCCCTCCCGTGGCTTCTCTCCTGCTGGAGCCGGGGCTGCCCAAGTCCTGTTTCGCTTCAGGACCTGAACAGGTGCGTTTGCTCCCTTCCTGTGCCTGGAGTCCTGCCAATCATTGCTCAACTCCAACCTCGTTTTGTTTTAACATTGGACCTCCATCCCCAGGGCCTTCTCCTGGCTGCAGGTCTTGGAGTCAAGTTTCTTTTCATGAGGCTGCTAGTTGCCAGCTAACCAATCATAGATCTTGGGACTTGGATAGAAATGACATTTTTTTTTTCTTCCTTGGCTCTTCTCTCTGAGGGTCTTATCTCTAATCCCTGGATTTGGAAAGAGTGCCAGATGGAAGCTGGGAGGCCCAGATTAGTTAACTATGGACTAGGGCGAGTACTTTGACTTTCTGAGCCTCAGTTTCCTTATCTGGAAAATCAGAGGTGTGCTGACTGGAAAGATCTCTTGAGCTGCTGAATCACAGGGATTATGGTGCTAACTCGAGTGTCCTTTTTTTCTCCATTCTACTTCCTGGATCCCTGACTTTCCTGGCTTTCCCACCCCTAACTCTGGTCTGCATTATGTCTATCTCTTTGGTTCATTTTTAACTCACCAGTTGTGGAACCACCATAAAAATGGGAATTTTCCACTCTTCATTCAACCCGGAGTCCTCCCACTCAGTATCTTGCATAGATTGCCCCAAATCACTCAGGCAGAGGACTTTGACCTTTCAGAGGTCACAGAGACAGTAGAGGGGCTGAGCCTTCAGCATGTGAACCTCACCCTACAGTGTGGGGTCAAATATCCTTGTCATATCCTTACCCTTTTCTTGATAAAAACCCAGATGACACTGGTTACATTATGTTCCTTTCTGACATGGACTGCAACCTCAGAATCATATCTTTGCTCCTTGGTTTTACCCAGAAAGGGGGGGCGGGGCATACAAAGCAATCTTTTGTTTATTTTATATACCAGAGGACCCTCCTGCAGGTTTTCCCACTCTGCCTTCCCTGTATTATTTTTTTGGAGTTTCACTAAAAATAATGGCAGTTATAAAACAGCTATCATTTACTAACAATTTGCTATGTGCCAGGCCCTGTGCTGGGAGCAGGGTCTGTATTTTCTCATGTAACCCACTCAGTAAATGTCAGAGGTGGGCACCAACGCTCTCTTGCTATGAATGAGGAAAACCAGGCCTGGGGAAGCCGAGTGACCTTCTCCTCAAAAGCCCTGTCAGCCCCCATAGAGTCCCCAAGCAGGCCCTCTGGAGGAGTTGGTTCACTCTCCCCAGACCCCCTCAGCTGCCCAGTCTCCAGGGCTAAAGGAATCTCTGTTGCTTTTCTCATTTTCTTCTTCCCAAAGCCTCCAAGTCTCCTGAAGTTTACTGAGCTTCAGTCCACTGGCTAAGAAGGATTTCATAGGCTCTCTGTAGAACCAAAAACCTTTTTGCCGCTCTCACAGAGGCCACCATGCTGGGTGTGGCCCCTTTGACCACACGCATGCACTGGATTCCATAAAAATGGCTCCAACATCATCTCTGGGCCTTCTCAGGGCTAGGAGAGCAGGAGTATGGTCTAGATGAGATTTGCAGACGTCATTTAGTTCACGTCTTCGTCTTTGGGCGGGATTACCCTTCCCGATGCAAATCCCAAGTATGATTACATGCTCAGCCTCTCTCCAACTGCTCAAAACAGTTTCCATTTCAATCCAACTCAAATGTTCATTCTTCTACCCTAACAAAACAGGGGATAATTAGTTGTTTATATATATATCATATATATGTTGTTGTTAATCCTTACCTGAGAATATTTTTTCCATTGATATTTGGAGAGAGTGGAAAGAAGGGAGGTGGGGGAGAGAGAGAGAAACATCGATGTGAGAGAGACACATTAATTGGTTGTCTCCAGCATGCATCTGAACCTGGGCCTAGAATAGAACCTGAGACCGTTTGGCATGCAGGCCAACGCTCTAACCACCCAGCTACACTGGCCAGGGCGTTATCTTCAATATATTACTTTTATTTCTCCTTTTCTCTTCCATTTCCTAAAAAAGCATTAAGCAAGTGTGTTAGGGGATTGCCATTGCCCGGCAAGTACACACACACTGCTGGAGTGGGAGGGGAGATTAATGTGCTTCCGTCTTCTGCTTTTCCCTACTGGCTGCTGGGCCCTTTTGTCTGGAGAAGTGAACAGAATACTTCCTGAAGGAATTCAAAGAGAAAGAGAATTAGTATTCAGTTTCTGACATTCAAAACAGAGTTCACAGCATGCCGATGACTTGAATGCTAGGCTTGGGGTGAGAGAAAACATTTTTCCATAAATATCTTCCAGTTGGTCTAGAGACCATAGGGTTTCTCTGATAGGACAGAGAAGGTAACTCTGTTTATGATTAGGCTTAGGTTAGAGCCAGGAAGTGATGAAGCCAAGGAAGAAAATGAACTCACTGCCTCTTCTTGTCCTGGGCCATCATGGGAAGAGGAGGCCATGGACGGAGGCCAAGTTAGGAGGGGAAGTGGTGAGGTCCATGCTCTGATGTCCCTTTGAAAGGCATGTCCCACAAGCTGGGAGGCACGTAGAAGACAGGTCTCCCCCATGCCCTGTCTGTTAAGGCTGTGGGGAGAGCTCTTGTCGCAGTTTCTGCTCTGGGACGGGTCAAGGGTGAGTGGACAATGCAACGCGGTACAAAATCAGGCTGCATGTCAAGCAGAGAGAGGACTCATCTACAGTCCCAACTGGAGAGCCAGTGAGCCAGCCCTGACACCCACTGCCCGATGGAGAGGGAGGCTGGTTCAGAGCTCTGCAGGCTCCGCAGCTTCAGAAGCAGTGAGGCTAGTGAGGAGCCCCTGCAGGGCACAAGGGACAGGGAGCCCAGGACAGGAGCTACAGCAATGGCAGACATCAATGGTGGGGCGAGCTGAACCCTCAGAGATAAGGACCCATCTAAGGGTTTGTGTAAAACCAAGGTGCCTTCTTCCCTGCAAGCAGGCCATGGGCCGAAGGCTCAGACACCCTGAGGGAGAATGGGGAAGAAGCCAGCAGAAGTAGAAGACCCTGAGCAGCACCCAAAAGGGACCAATGAAATGACTGATTTAAACTAAGGTTGAAGCTGGATCGGGCATTCGGTTATTTTTCTCTAGCAAGTAACAACAGGTAAGATGACAACACAAGGAAAGTACTTCCCCTGCATATCCAGGTTGTATGGTGAGCATACTTAAGCCTGGCACCTGTGTTTCAACCAAAGAAAGACAGCCTTTTCTATTTCAGGCCCAGTGATCTGAGCTATTTTTACTTTTCTCCTGATTTTACACTCTTGGTTCTTGCTGCTAACCCCTGGATAGTATCCCTTTGAAATTCTACAGTATTCTCCTTTGCCTCCTCAACAGCAACAAAAAGAAAGCCGGAGCCCTGGCCGGCTTGGCTCAGTGGATAGAGCGTCGGCCTGCAGACTGAAGGGTCCCAGGTTCGACTGCGGTCAAGGGCACATGCCTGGGTTCGGGCTTGATCCCCAGTAGGGGGCATGCAGGAGGCAGCCAAGCAATGATTCTCTCTCATCATTGATGTTTCTATCTCTTTCCCTCTCCCTCCCTTTCTGAAATCAATAAAAATATATTTAAAAAAGAAAAAAACAAAGCAGGAAGCTCACTGCTGTGGGCTGAACTGTGTTCCCTTAAAATTCTATGTGGAATCCCTCGCCCTCAGTACTTCAGAATGTGACTATAGTTAGAGAAAAGGCCTTTAAAGGGGTGATTAAGTTAAAATGAGGCATTAAGAAGCGCCTAAATCCAATCCGACTGGTGCCCTTGTAAGAAGATGGAATTTGGACACACCAAGAAACACCAGGGATGCAGGAACACAGTGGAAAGGCCCGGTGAGGACACAGCCACAAGAGAGCCACCTGCAAGCCAAGGAGAAAGCCCGTAGGAGAAACCAAACCAGCCGACCCCTTGGTAATGAACGTCTAGCCTCCAGAATGGTGAGAAACAAATTCTGCTAAGCCACGCAGTCTGGGTGTTTTGTGATGGCAGCCTTAGAAAACCATCACACTCGCCTTTGTAGGTTTGTGCCGAGGTAATAGAATTGTGCAAGTGGTCAAAGGGAGCCCTCCCCCAGCTCCCTGTGGGCATTCTTTTTAAAACATTTACCGGTATTGGGGTAACCGTGGTTACCACGACATAATTTTCAGGTTGGGCACACTGTTTAAGCGGAAGGGCATCGACAAGGCTGGTCCTCCTGTTGGAGGCGATGCTGAGGGTATTGCCGTTACTTTGCATGGAAGTGTGGCCACGGCGTGATGATCAGCGGGCAGGCTGGGAGTAAGTGGGACACACGACAGAGGCACGCAGAGATGGCAGCTGGACTGTGGCTGGGTGGGGGCTGTCCCTTGCCCACTCAAGCCATTTTTCTGTGACAGATGCTGCTTTCTC